CCGGAGGTGTTTGATCTCCGTGGCCTGAGGACTACCCTTCAAGTGAAGTACACTGAATTCGTCTCAAATGAGATATTCCGCACTCGCCGCAACAATATCGTGAGCATATCTCAGGCCATCCAAGAAAGACAACTAAGGTTGTTTGGGCAAGTTCTTCGTCGTCCGCCTCACGCGCTCAATTATACTACCCTATATTCAACGCCGTTATCCACCCGGAGGCGTCGGCGAGAAGGTCAACACAAGACCTGGTCCAACACGGTTAGTCAAAACATGGAAGCGATCCTCTGACCTTCGGTATCCGGTATTCGTAGCTGGGGAATGGAATAGACTGAGCTGTCCGGATACGCTGCCGCAACTATTCACGCGTAGAGAGGTACCCTTCGTGATATCATCCAGGCCGACTAGATAAGGCATAATCACAGCCGTACCAAGTACTTGTACATCATTTGTGATAGTGCTGTTCTTAGTAGAGTAGTCTACTTTACTCACTATTCGCCATAATGAACGAGTCAGGTTTGTCGCCTGCGTAAGCCCCCGTGGACCCCATTTCTTCAATCACAAAATCCCGTTCAGACACTGTACACGAGATCACATAGCGCTTTTTCCACGCCAACAGTTCTCCAACAACTTCTGCATGCATATACCACCTGAATTTCGAAGAATTAAAACGGCCATAGTAAAAAGATCCATAGAAAAATCGGTGATGAGTTGCGCTGAATGCCTATACGTTTTACTGCTCAGCTGTATGGTGCTGTATGATGTGTTTATACATTTTTTTCTTTTGTTTGGTTCATTTTTTAATTTAGCATCACAAATGTACTTTTTATTTACCTTTAATATCTCTTCATATATGCTATATAGTGGGACCACCAAAGTATTCTCAGTCCGGTTAGAAGCATTAGACCACTTTGGTAGACTAATAAAGGTTTTATTTAATTTCAAAATCGTACTTTCTCGGACTGCTACTATGCCTTTCCTCATAAAAGAGCCAACTGAATTTTACGCTATAACGTATCGAGACAAAGAAATACAAAAATTTATGTGTGATTGTTCACGGCTCAATTATTCAACCGTATTCTTCATTCCAATAGCCTGAAGCAATATCAGAAGCCGACCAGGTGTCCATGGACAAGCTGGCTTCTGCGACCGAACAATTTAGAAGGCTTAATGAGAGTGACAAGGACTTCGTGCACCAGGAATCCTCAGACACAGAACTTCAGGTTAAAAAGGATGTCTTGCCACAACGCTTGGCTCTGCAGGTTGATGATTTCCTTTCGAAGGAACACCCCGAAAGCAGGATTTCACCGCCTATTGAGGCCATTTGTTCAGTTTCTGCCGTCACGGTTAGTTCGTCGTACCGTTTCTTAATATTTTTTAACACTTGATGGTCCTTGAACCGTGGTTATCTAACCAGGTCCCTTAGGGTACATTACCTGAATTTCGAGCTGTATAGTCCAGAAATAACCATTTATACTGTTGCCCGCCAAAATTAAAGTTAACGTTTTCAACAGGACAAACTGATTTTGGCCTTTTGGTTCCCACTGCGTGCTTGTGTTGTTAACAATCCGAGAATTTTATGGAGTCTTCTTAGTGGAGACTAAGACCCAATAATAAAGCCCCTCTGCAGAGTCATCTGGGAATTCACTGAAAGTGAGCCTCGATGAAGACCGGCTATCATACTGGATGGAACCGCAAATATTAATTAAGATGATATAGCAATGAAGCGTTTCCGTCCTCCCTCTAGTTTTGAAGCGTTCAGCATGTATTAAAAAACCCCGTGAATGTTAAATTGATCCTTTATAGTTTCATATCGTCATCACATCTGGTAGCAGTCATTCCGATTGCTACATTTTCCGCCTATGTCGTTAGTACTACGTTGTAACTCTTCGCCCCATTCCAGTTTCTGCTTAAGTTATAACAGTATATTGCTACCTGCGTTCTCTGGATAGAGCATATGCAATCTTCATTGCTCTCCGAGTTTGGACTTGGTCCCCTTAACCTGCACAAATGCAGTCTTGGTTCACTAAGTACTGCGGATGCATCATTTAGGTTGGGTGTCATGGTCGTATAAACAAACAATCCATCCGCTCACACTAATACTACCATGGACGAATAAATGTAATCAGTGAGGTGGGTTAGTTTCTTCGTTCTCTTTGATAGGTATACCGTGTCTTGCGCATGCCTCAGGAATAGTACTTCCTGAAACCCAGACTAGGTCCTGTGTTGACGCTGTCGCAAGCCCAAGTAGTTCTGTGTGACTAGATAAGTTCCCACTACTCTTCCTGACGTCAAATGGTTTCATCTTCCCACTTGGGTGACCCAAAGTCCAGTTACTCTCCTAGCATCATACGAAAATCGGAAACTTAACTTCCATTAGACTTTCCACGAATTAGTTAGCACATTATTTTTTTCTGTACCAAAGCATTTCATCTGGCAGATGATAGGACATTCTTACGGGCAGACGGAACCGAGCTGCCAGTTTGCCCTCTGCTAGCCAT